GGGTCCAAACAGCCCAAACCCACTCTGTGTTGTTGAAGCTCAGACACACACAGAGGCCTCCTCCTTCCATGGAGACGAATGGAGGTACATCCTGATTAAAGATCAGGTGACGTCATTGTCACAACCGAGATCAACCCAGCCATTGAGGACACCCCCAACCGTAGGTGACCTGGAGGGGAGTTCCGCACCTGAGGCCCCTGGGATTAAATGTGTCCAACTCTTCGGAACAATTACAATGTTTCACCCACGAGGGGATGACTCCCGGGTACAGGGAGGTCGGAGAGGCTCATGCATGTGTTTCATCCTCTGAGCAGAGAGGTTCTCTCAAAGCCCTGAGAGACCAGGTATGCTTACCCACCTGACTTTTCTGAATCCCAAGACCTTACTCTTCCTCTCCTGATTATGAATCTATATCCAACTATTTGTCTTAGTTCTGTTTCCTTTTTTTGAAATCAGTATAAAAAATCATATACAAGTACACAGTTCATGTGCTGGAGATGAAGGCATTTTGTCTGTCAGTGTGAAACTCTGCTGTGTGCAGACTAACCGGGCAGAGTAAGATAATCACTCTATTGCCATCCGAGCTTCTCTGCCTGGTAAGTTTTCACCTCCTCTAAGACCTGCCCTAGGCTCGCCCTGGCAGAAAGGGAAGTCTCTGCTCCAATGGTCTCAAAGTCACAGCTTGTCTGCAAATTTAATAATTGCTTACACCGCCTGTTGGGACCTTGTAAGAAACCCTGGTTTGCTTGAGACATAGGATTCTAGCCTTTTTTTTTTTAATGTTTTTTATTTATTTCTGAGAGATAGAGAGAGACAGCATGAGCAGGGGAGGGTCAGAGAGAGAGGGAGACACAGTATCCGAAACAGGTTCTAGGCTCTGAGCTGTCAGCACAGAGCCCGACGCGGGGCTCGAACCCACGAACTGTGAGATCATGACCTGAGCCGAAGTCGGACGCTTAACTGACTGAGCCACCCAGGTGCCCCAGGATTCTAGCCTTTTAAACTTAAGTTGAAGTTCTGTTGAACAAAGAATTTGAGACTTGGAAGAGAGAAATTGAATTTAGTATTCCCGGGAAAAAATAATTTTGTTTCTTTTTTATTTAGAAAAGCTAATCTATTTGCAGAAAAATGGATACTATAAGCTGCAAATCTCAAGTTCACTTTTTCTTCCATATTCAGCTCTTTCAAGAATCTACAAAATGCTTAAACAAATTTTGAAGAAGTGAATATTAGATGATCTGGAATAAGCAAGATCAGATTAAATCACTTAAAGTGATTTTTAAAAATTACCCGAAATTCCCTTTGACCCTCTCCTTTTATTCATTTCTTAACACAAATTGAACTTCAGACCAAGAAAGAGGCAAGAGCTGAATGGAGTATTCAGTGGCCACTGACCATACAGGTTCCGTCTGCATGAGTAAATGAAGAGAGCGACAGAGTGACCTATGAGAGCCACAGCTGCACACCAGTGACCTTTACATCCATTTGGCCTTTTGTAGCAGGAGCCCAGGGGCACCCAAGGTCCAAGTGCTGCTGGAAGCTTCACCTGCCTTCACTTAGTAGTGCTTCCAGAAATTGCATGTTGATCTCCTAAAGCACCTACTCAGCCTTGCACAGAATAAGGATCAGAAATAAAAGAAATTGTGGTAGGAACCCCTCCCTAAGGAGAACGAAAAAAATTGAAGAAGAGAGAAGAGAAGACTTCAAGGTCACCTAGATATGAGTCCAGCTGCCTACATCCCCCATGTTCCTGTAAACTGAAACAACTTAATCAGACTACATGTTTATGTGTACTACCATATATGGGAGACAAAGAAATAGAAAATGCATAAAAAACCCTATACCATATGGTGTGGGCCGCTCAGTTCTTTTGGGTACGAACCCAACTGAGCGGTGCCGGCAAAATAAAGTTGCTTCCTGGAAAGAAAAGTCTCGGTGTCACGACTCTCTGAGCGAGAATCCTGCAACAAAATAAAATACAAAATAACATAAAAATAGAATGAATGAGTTCTGAGTCCTCTGGAGCAGTCACATGATGGAATTACGAGATTTCACAAAAAACTGTAGGCTGTAAAAATTGATGAGAAACTGCCTCGGGCACATTTTCCCCCCACATTTCCTATTCTTACTCTAGTGAGTGGGGATCAACCTCAACCCAAAGAGCGGCTCTCTTATGGTCTAGCATTCCAGCAGCCCTCAGTAAAATTTTAGACTCATTATTTCCATAAAATATTTTTCCCCATTGGTGAGAGATCCCTGCCTGGGGACCCCATGACCAGGATTGGGAGCACCTTCCCTTCCATTGTGTTCGTTGTCTGTCTTTGCCTCTCAGAAGGAATCACCTTTGGTGTCCGACGCCGGGACAAGCCCATCCACCTCTAGGAGGACTGGTCTGGCCCTGGGACCTGGTGACATGAAGTCAGGCGGCTTTGAGTATGGCCCAGAGCAGAGGAGGGTGCTGCAGCAGGTCCAGCCCCCGAGTGCAGAGAGACCTGTCCCTGGGTTAGTGAGGACACTGAGGTCCAATTCAGATAGATGTTTCCGTTACTGTGAAGGAGGCTCTGACTGTCCCTGCAGGAGATGGAGGCCGGCTGTCCAGGGGGGACGGGCAGGGACAGAGGGGTCTGGGTCAGCACAATATCCCCACTGGATCCTAAAGAAAGGAAAGAGAAGTGCCAAGTTAGATACAAATATTTTTAGCAAGTTTCATTGTTTCCATCTCATTTATTGTAGCTAAAATACGACTTTGTGTTTCTCCCATTACTTGTGACTTCCAGCAGGCACCGAAAATGCACAATCACAATAATGAACCTGACATCTGTGAAGTGGAGAGAGGTCTCTAACCATCGCTGACTCCCTCCCTACCTTCTGTGTCACAGTCCTCACCAGAGCACAAGCCCTAGTTCCTTCTAGAACCTTCCTCAGTCTCACAGATAGCACGTACATCTGGGGGCCATCTCTGGAGGAGGGTGGGAGGGTGTGAATGGCCATCAGAGCTTTGTGGTTTTCTGTCATTACTGCTGCTGCTGTCGCCCTGAGAGGCTGAGCCTCCTGGGGACGTTTGTGTTTGGGGCTATGACACTGCAGTGTCCCCCGGTGCCCTCTCATAGACATGGACAGCTTCCCCCGACTCCACACCAGTGACCGTGGGATGGATGAGGACCATTTAGGATGCACGTGTGTGTCCACTGTGAATTTGTGGAAATACACTGATGCATTGTCTTTTTTTTTTAAACTTTCTTTAAGTTTATTTATTTATTTTGAGAGAGAGGCAGAGAGGCAAAGAGAGCACAAGTAGAGACGGAGCATAGAGAGGTCGAGAGAGAATCCCAAGCATGCTCTACACTATCACCAGTGAGCCTGATGCAAGGCTCATACTCACTAACCTTGAAACTATGACCTGATCTGAAGTTGGGCGCTTAACTGACTGAGCCACCGAGGGGCCCCTAAAACATACTTTTACTTCTAATGCACTCTGTTATGGCAGGTAATTGACATGAGCCCAAGTTAAGTCAGATATAATATTTGAGCACAATATTTATTGAGATCTACTCAAAGCATGTAATTTATTTACATTTTCAATGGAACATACAATAGAAGTTCATTTTTAGGTAAGACCTTGTTCCGTAAAATTAACGTATTTACCTATTGTAGGAAATAGTTTCTGACCATATTACCAAATTTGTCATCTCCAAAGTAGTGTAGGTGATCTTTAAATGATCCCTTCTTGGAAACAAACTTTATATCATTCTTACAGTTCCTGTGGTCCATGAGGTGCATTCTATGCTCTACAGTATTCAGCTTGTTTTGTTTTCTCAGAACCTCCTTTTGAATTCTGAGAACTCCCTTTTTGTCTCAGAAAAGGGTCATTGAGACAAAATCCTCCTGGATAGGTTCTGTGTGTGCACATGTGTATATTTGTGTTTGTGTGTGTTGTTGTTGTTGTTGTATTGAAGTATGGAGACACACAACATTGCATTTGTGTCAGGTGTAAGACATAGACATCAGACTAGCCCATTCCCTATGCTGTGCTCACAGGTGTAGCTGTCATCTGTCCCCACGGACACTATGACAAGAGCACTGTCTGTGTTCCCTGTGCTTTCATCACAGTGACTTACTCATTCTGTTACTGGAAGGCTGTGCCTCTCATACATTTTCAGCCATTTTTCCATCCCCTTTGCCTGCTTCCCGTCTGGCAACCACCAGTTTGTTCTCTGTATCCATCTGTCTGTTTATATGTCTTTTGATGTCTTTCCTTTGTCTTGCTTTTTAGATTCCATATATAAATGAAATCCTAATCATATGGTTATTGTCTTTCTCCGTCTGACGTAAGTCACCTACCATAATACCGTCATGGGTCATCCATGTTGTCACAAATGCAGTACTTCATTCTCTTCTATGGTGAGTGATGTCCATTGTGTGTAATGACCGCATCTTTTTACAGGAGCAGAAGCTCATCTGTGCTATGAAGTTACAACAATGTGTTTAGGTCCTCGAACACCAAATGCTTTGACGAAGTGTTCTCAGCCATGTTTGCTGTGGGAATAGTGTGCATGGAACGTTGTCTGGAGAACATTGTACAAGAGGGATTTGTGTAACTGGTAATGAAGAAGTTCACAATGTGCAAAAATGAGAAATAATATCTGCACGATACCAAATATTATTGTATTGAAAATAGCAAAACTTGTTAGCTCCAAATGTATTCAACTTGTGTTGTCACAAATATGCCTCCGTTTGCTGGCTCTTTGACTGACTCCATGCCCTTGACCCATGCACACAGGTGAGGAGGGTGTAGATGGGGTGCAGGTCTGCTCTTCCTTCCCTCTTACTGCTCAGAGGACATGTCAATCACCTCCGTTCCGGGGCGGGTCCTGCCGCGTTGGGCTGGTGCAGCTAAAGGGCCAGGACATGGTCCAGAGCCCTCAGCTGCACGCGATGCCCTGACATCCCCAGCACCTGCCTCTAAGGACAACGGAGGCTCTGCTGCGCCTGCTCCCCACTCAAGCAACACATGTGGAGGGTGGTGACACGCCACACAGAGAGGTTTGTGTTCGGGGCTGAATCACTGTGGGAGGATCATGTGTAGCTTGCATGCAGTAATAAACTCCAACATCCTCAGCCTCCACCCTGCTGATTGTCAGGGTGAAATCTGTCCCTGACCCGCTGCCACTGAACCTGTTTGGGACCCCAGAGGCCCGGTTGGAAACAAGATAGATGAGGAGCCGTGGAGACTGGCCTGGCTTCTGTAGGTACCAATCTAAATAGGTGTTTCCATCACTGTCCTCGAGGCTCTGACTGGCCCTGCAGGAGATGGAGGCCGGCTGTCCAAGGGTGACGGGCAGGGAGAGTGGGGTCTGCGTCAGCACCACATCCCCACTGCATCCTAAAGTAATGAGAGAAACACAATGTGATGCTACTTTTTCTGTATTTAAGGTTCTTTTAGTGTTTTAGACAAAAGCATTTCTTGTGATTGGATTCATATTCTAATTATATACAATTTCCAAAGGCAACCCAAGAATTGCAGGCACAAAGCAGCCTCTTTATTCCCCAACATCTCACTAAAGCTGTGTTCCTTGTTCCTTTCCGTTTCTTCTTGATTTCCCAGGCCCCCAAATTAAATTCCCCTTGCTGGAGGGCAGTCCCACCCAAGGACAGAATACACATGGGGAGCAGGGGCGCCCCCAGAGCTCTCCCCCAACACCCCGTGCTCCTCTCTCACCCCCTCCGCCCTCACCTGGGATCCAGAGCACCAGCAGCCCCAGCAGCTGAGCAGGGAACCTCATTGTGAGAAGTGGGACTGATGGGTCCTCACAGGTAAAGAGAAGCACAGAGCTGAGCTTTATGTCACAGGGCAGGGCCTCCCAGGGGGCCACATGCAAATCCCCTGGGGGGTGTGGCAGAGGGGAAAGAGCCAAAGGCAGGGCCACAGGGACCTCTCCTGTGAGCAAAGTACCTTCCCATGTCTTCTGTGCTTGGAGGGAAACTACCAGAGACAAATTCCTTACTGCTGTGTGGGAAGAAGGATCTGAGTGTCTGGGAAGACATAGTGCTCACAGCCCTGCCCTTCTGAGAAAGCTCCAGAGACCCTGAGGGTGTGGACTTGAGTGTCCTGAGTCACTTTCTGGCAGGTGTACTCCCATCCTGCTTGGAGTCCTCTCAGCTACTGTCCAGGAGGAAACAGAGCTGCCCCACTCCGGCTGATTGGCAGAGTATCTCCAAACCACAGGATGAACTAGAGAGCTAGAGAGAGTTCTAGAGCCTCTGATGTCTGCTGTTTCCAGGCTAATGTTTTAAGACACTTTAATAATCATTAAATAATGAATTATACTCACCCAGGGGCTTCTTGAGAAGATGAAAGTAAAAAGACCTTCACACGGAGAAAGAATCACTCACAGGTAGAGAAATAATAGCTCTGCTTAGGAGACGAGGAAAGGACTAGAATTTTATGCTTCAGGCAGTGAGTGTTCGATTTTTTTTTTACCATTTTTTACAACATGGTGTGTACCCTGTCTTTCTTCTCTTTCACCCTAGATATTTAGACAGACAGACAGACAGATAGATAGATAGATAGATAGATACATAGACACACACACCATATGGTATATATGAGTTGTAGATACACAGTGAAACACATCCTTCTTCTCCCCCAAGTCAGGAATTTCTTACGGGAAACAATTCCTAAGCAGATTGGAGAGAATGAAGAATGTTTAATTTTGTAATGTATCCTTTTCTTTGTTACTATTTTCTTTTGGATGCTATATGCTGTCTTCTCATCATGTATAACCAAACTCTTTTTTTCTTTAAAAAATCTATCTTATAGTTTATTTATTTTTGAGACAGAGATATAGAGCACAAGTGGTAGAGGGGCAGAGAGAGAGAGGGAGACACAGAATCTGAAACAGGCACCAGGCTCTGAGCTATCAGCACAGAACCTGACGAGGGTTCGAACCCACAAACTGGGTGATCATAATCAGAGCTGAAGTCAGACGCTTAAACAAAGAAGCCACCTTGTGCCCCGTGTAAACCCAGTGTCTGTCAGAGGTTCTGGGGTCCTGTTAGCGCCGTGGGAGAAGCTGAATCTCACACTGGTTTACGTGAGGCGGCAACAGCTATGAGTCCCTGAGTTCAAAATCAGATTCTGTATGTGAGAATAGCAATACCTGGGACAACATTTTAATGTCGGGGTGTAACCTCCGTCTATGACTGACATTTTCTTGGGTCTCCACTTAACGACAGTCACTGTGGAATCAGGTCCGGGTTCAGAGCTGCTGGAGGCATCAGTTTACCAACCATCGGTCATGAAAATAGGGACATGGCCTGATGATCCTCCCTGCAACAGCCTGGCATCTGTCATATTGAATCGTTTCAGAGAATTGTGTCTGCTTCAAGTGACCTCACAAAGGGAGTCACAGTCCTGTAAACAAACTTTCGGAGAAACTGAGAGAGGATTTGTGGTTTCATTAAATCTCAGGGAATTTAAACCCAAATCACACTGAACTTAAAGAGCCAAAAATTAAGTCCTCCATTAAGAGCAACCTCGGGCTGCACATGGCCCCAGTCCCAGTTCCAGGAAAAGCCTCAGACTGTTCAAGGCTAAAGCCATCCTCGGACCGCCTTCAGTTCAGCTAATCAAAATGAAAAAACAAAACAAAAAAAAACAAAAAAAACCCACTCCTATGGTCTGAGTCAAGGCTGGGAACTGCAGATACAAACTAGCCAATTTCTCACCGCTTGCCTGAACCCCACGTGGGCCCTTTAAACTCACCTCATAATTGGTCATTTTCAAAGGATTCTCAACAATCATGATTGGGTCCCACCAAAAGGAATGAACACCTCACAGATACTGAAAGGTCAAAGCTGTAATTGTAATTGGTGCTTGTGTGATGATGCTACATGTACTGTAACACCCCCATCCCTTACTCCTTAAAAACCCTGTTCACTAATGTTCTTCACTTCACCTTGCTGCCTTGACACCGGTAGGCAGGCGAGACCCTGCTCGAGCTTGTAATAAGGACCCTTTCGTATTTGCATCGGTGCCGCTCCTTGGAGGTCTCTGGGACTCGCGATTCAGGCACAACAAACTGAAAAACCAGAAAGAAAAAAACAAGAAAACCCTGAAAACATACAATGGTAGGCATGATTACACAAACAAGGTCAGTGTGAAAACCTAGAAATCCTCCAGGAAGATTTTGTATCAGGATGGGAAAAGACATTGTGTAAAAGTGATATTGAAAGTAAACCCTGAGTTCTGTGGAGGGACTAGGTTGGTAGTGAAATATTACGATAGAATCAGCTTTATAACATCCCATGTCCCATATGTTACTAGTTGGCATTTTATTTACTTTTTTGGGTGGTTTTCCTCATTGATCTCTCTTATAGGGGTAGCCTATGCAGTCATGTTCCCCTTGAAAATTGCAGTCCTCTTAATGAATCCTTCTCATGAATGAATTCAGAGAATTAAGTAACTGAAAATAAAAACCATGAGGAAAAAAATCAAAAGGAAAAATGTAAACCAATCTTATCCATCTTAAAGTGAGTTTAAGGACTATTCATTCCAGATGTCAGATCATGAATCACATCATATAACAGTGTGTTAACTATACTAAAAAAAAAGAATTATATCACACATTTTTTGTACGTGAAAATGAAAAGTTTGGAATTATGGATGAGAAATAGTGATCTATCGTGTTTCTTTTACTGTATATCCATTTTAAAGAGATTAATTTTAGACAATTTTCTTTAGAATGCTGGAATTTCAAAGAGTATTACTATTGCCTATGAAACATAGGAAAGTTAAAAGTCCCCTTTTCTGTTTGATTCCTGGTCTTGTAATTTCTCGCCCAAAAATATCCAGAAAATGTAAAATCTTATAAAAATTCTTTTGGGATCTAGAAAAGGCTTAAAAATTTCCTACACTTGGGGGGCGCCTGGGTGGCTTAGTCGGTTAAGCGTCCGACTTTCGCTTAGGTCATGATCTCGCGGTTCGTGGGTTCGAGCCCCGCGTCGGGCTCTGTGCTGATTGCCAGCTCAGAGCCTGGAGCCTGTTTCAGAGTCTGTGACTCCCTCGTTCTCTGACCCTCCCCTGCTCACGCTGTCTCTCTCTCTCTCTCTCTCTCTCTCTCCTATAAATAAATAAAAAAAACATTAAAAAAAATTTTCCTACACTTGGGGCGCCTGGGTGGCTTAGTCGGTTAAGCGTCCGACTTTCCGACTTTCGCTTAGGTCATGATCTCGCGGTTCATGGGTTCGAGCCCCGCGTCGGGCTCTGTGCTGACTGCCAGCTCAGAGCCTGGAGCCTGTTTCAGTCTGTGACTCCCTCTCTCTCTGACCCTCCCCTGCTCACGCTGATTCTCTCTCCTAGAAATAAATAAAACATTTAAAAAAAAATTAAAAAAAAAAATTTCCTACACTCACTGTTGACCCAAAAAAAGAGGGTTCCTCATTGTATACAGGCATTTTTTTCCCCCTCAATGTTTAAAATCTCTAAACCTGAGCCCATCAAATTAATTGACTTGTAATTAATAAGACTTGTAAGCGGTGTTTCAGACCTTCCATGAGGTCCAGGTGGGAAACAAGACGCTAGGTGTCTCAAATCTATACTTTTTATAAGTTTATTTATTTATCCTGAGAAATACAGAGAGGGTATAAAGCATTAACATATTCAGTCAACACCAAGACTCTAGAAGAAAATTCTGGCACCATCCAAGCCAACTAAAGATTTATATATGAACCCTCTGTTTCGTTCCTTCTAATTTCTCAAACACTAAACACTAAGCACAGAGAAAAGTTTCCTTCTCCACCCACTGGAGCATGGCCTTTCCCCTTGTCTCCTCCTAGCAGTGAGCTTCCTCATCAGGGCAGAGAAGGGACATTCTGAGCACAGGCCCTGAGCCCTGAGTTGCTTAGGGAAACTGAGGGAGCAAGATGTGCTCAATATATCTCTGGCAAAGCTTCAGGGCCCTTCCTTCAAGACCTGACCTTGCACTCAGTCCATGAGCTTTGAGATGCTGACCTGGCTGAGGTGGAGGAACTGAGTCAGAAGCAGTGACTTTAGGCTTCAGCTCACCTGACCTAGAGTTTTCCAGTAAGAGAGACAAACTTCTCTAAGTGGCTGCGCACTGATTTATTTCTAATAACATGTGATCAAGGTCTATTGCCACCGATCCCAATTTCTGCCATTATTCTATCCCTGTTGATTTTGGACAATGAACACCTCTTACCTCTGAGGGTCATTATGACAATCTGGCCTGTGCCACAGACATCATCGTTCACTGTTCCCTGCACAGCAGACTCACATCAAATTTAGCACTGGTTGGGGAATATTCCTTTTTTAAAAAATATTTTTGATGTTTATTTATTTACTTTGAGAGAGAAAGAGAGAGAAAGAGAGAGATTGCAGGAGAGGGTCAGAGGGAGAGGGAGATAGAGTGAATCCAAGCAGGTTGCATATTGTCAGCGAAGAGCTGGAGATGGGGCCCAAACCCAGCATTGGTGAGATCATGATCTGATTTGAAATCAGGAGTCGAGTGCTTAACCTCCTGAGACATCCAGGAGCCCCTGCTGGAGGAATATTCTTGACATGAACATTCTGAAGAGAGAAAGCCAGATTCAGCAGAGGAGGATGTTGAGTTGTGATGCAGGCAGACAAAAGCCTAACCCACCCCCATAGGGAGGTGCAGAGCTGGGATCGCTCTCCAGAGTTGACCCAAATTGGGACCCATGGGCCAGACCCTTATCTGTGATATCACCTCTTCCTCTCCATCCTGTGCCTTTTCCCA